AGTGTTCGGGGTCAATACAGGAATCCTGTCAGGCGATTAGTACCATTATCACAGGTTCAACCATACGCGCAGTAGTGCGCGTCAGCCAAGCTCGTTAGTGATAACTTAGGACTGGATTGGTAAACTTGAAGCTCTGTAGCAGTTATTACCCAAACTGCAGCATTCAAGCATGACTTCGCTTCAACTATGTTCTCGATCTATGTCTACAAACGGTGGCGGCTTTGCCCATTACCCAGGACGTACCGAAATGCCATTTTCTTGTTCATTACCCAGAACATACCGGCATCCATCGCACCGTATTTTGATTTTCAATGTGTCTGATCCGACTGACTTGTGATGATCACTCCTTATCCGAAGCGGTAGCGCGTAACAGAAATATACAACTAGCTGTTCTTGCCTCAACCAAATGTACACAGCAGTTTTGGAAATTAGGAAATCATGTCCTACTCATCCAGCGGATTCTACACTCATGAATCAATGTAAACCGAAGATTAGCACTCTTTACGAGTTCTTTCTCAAAAATTGTGAGATTCCTCACAACTTGACTCATAACTGAAGTGAATTGCACATCGACAGAATTCCGCCATCGATCCTGGCAATCAGAGTTAAAAGGTTAGTTACTTAGCTGTCACCGGCTTGGCCCCCATGTTGGAATGGAATCGCGGGGCGGTGTCCGTCCAGCTGGTGCTGGTTGAACGTTGGGCTTGGAATCCCAAAGTCCCCGAACAGTCCCACGTATTCCGCGGTTTCGTGAACAGCCGTGGGTGCTATATAACTGTCATTCAATTACATAACAGATCACTCTTCGCAATTAACCTTTTATCAAACAATATGTACAAATTACTGGATGGCAAAGCCAACCAGAGCATAAAATGAGCCAGAATCTACGCACTAGATCCTGACACTCAACCAAGCAAAGGGAAAGGGTATTATCCACAATTCTCCTGCCATCTAGGATGTTGGACAACTTCTTACACTGGAGACGCCCAACTATACTACCTTTTGTCAAAATACTGGAGACGTCCAACCATCCTCTACCTTTTGTCAAACCAAAAGGGAACGACCATTGCGCTGAACCACGCCTAGGCCAACGTGCATCTGTAGCCGTATCGTACGCACTACTGCACATCCACTTTCCACACAGGGAAAGGTCCGCTCTTCACAGAGTGAGGAGAACGAAGCTCAAGGAAAGTTCTAGCTTGTAGCCCTCAAAGAACTGTAGTCATATCACGAAAGTCAATCCTAGTTGCTTCTGTAAACAGTTTCAAGCTGTTGTCGCGCTTCAGTACTTATACTATCAGGTTGGAAGAAATCCTGTC